TCTCTCTCTCTCTCTCTCTCTCTCTCTCTCTCTCTCTCTCTCTCTCTCTCTCTCTCTCTCTCTCTCTCTCTCTCTCTCTCTCTCTCCCCGGCACGCATGGGTGTAACGAATCTTGTTTCTCTTCTTTTTTTTTTTTTTCCCCTGTGTTTTTCAAACATCCAACTTTTCATTATAATCGCTGTGGAAAGGGGGTCCGGCGTCCCTTACAAAGATGACACACTCCATGCTTCCATTTTCAGTATGGTTGAAGGACAATTGATTGGTTCCACTTTGGAAGTGAAGCAATGTTGTTTCTCATACATGAATCTTGCAGATGCATTGAAATCTCCGTCTTCTGCAGGAATGGTTGAATGACTTTATGTTACTTTATGTTCCAGATTCATTGATTACTTGTATTGCAGCATCTGACCCGTTCTTGCGATTTCGTTCGTTTGGCAGATCCCTGGGACGCTCTGTCTGCTGCAGGAAATGGGCGAAACGGATATTGTTTTGGAACTAGGACCTCCTGCCTCACAAAAACGCCTCTCCAAAGACGGCCGGTGCGACCTTGCCCTCTGTATAGCACTAGCGCATGTGGAGCTCAGCCGCGGCTTGTTGAGCAGAGAACCACCCGCAGTTGTCGATGCATGTGATGGCCTGCGCGCTGCGCTGGAATCGCTGCGCTCTGAGGAAGGGGTCACAATTGCCCCCGAACTCCAGGAGCAAATCGAATCGAGTGTTACTCAACTTATGCCAGCGTGCGTTATTGAGCTTCTCTCATTGCCTTTGAATGAACAATACGCCGCGCGGCGGAAGGAAGGCTTGGAAGGTCTGAAGGGTATCCTATGGGGAAGTGGTGGTGGTGGTGTGGCAGACTTGCCAGCTGTGTTGCCAGGTGGCATACAACGAGAGCAGTTTATCTCGGAGGCATTTGGAGCTATGACAGCAGAGGAGCAGGTGTGTGGTTTTCAACTTGTCACACTGACAGCAGGCAGGAGCATCGACATAATAATAACAGTATTAAAAAAAAAAAAAAAAAAAAAACTTAGAAAAAGAAAAAAAAGAATGGTTCTATATATCGTCAAATATGTATATATAGCCTCCTGACGAGTCGGTGAAGCTAACTCTGACAAAACAGTCTGTCACAGCCCCTCCTCGTTTATTGTCCCCTTCTCCCTCCCTCTCTGCCGGCGGTTTACCGGGGGCAGTTCTGTTTGATGGTGTATGTAATAAAATGGTAATAACTGTAATAACAATTTTTTTATTACCAATTCGGTGCTGATCCCCAGGTGGCCCAGAGAAGCTCTCTCTGCCTGGGAACTCACCCAGGCAGGCCTAGCCGGGTGTAGTGGTTAAGAGACTTGGCTGCTGAGGCCAAGGTCGCCGGTTCGAATCCGTGCTTGCACGGAGGAGGGCTTTGGCCCGCTTGTGTGCGGATCTATGCACCAGATTGTGGAAACACCCGTTAACCGACGGGGAAGAATACCCCGTAATTGGTGCTCGGGCCGTGTGCAGCGGAGCGGAGTGAGCGAGAGCACTAAGTACAGATGGAAGGGGTCCTGTGCAGCGGGCGGAGTGAGCGAGAATTGCCGCGTCCGTGGGATGTGTCTATGTCCGTGTGTGGTGTCGTGTGGGTTGCGTTGGACACTACAGCCTTGCAGGGGTGGGTTAGATATCACGACCGGTATGGTTCCACTCTTGAACACCGTGCCCTGGCTGTAGTGGTTAAGAGACTTGGCTCCTGAGGCCAAGGTCGCCGGTTCGAATCCGTCCTTGCACGGAGGAGGGCTTTGGCCCGCTTCTGTGCAGATCTATGCACCAGATTTCCAAACAGGTTCCCAGCCAATCCCAGTGCAAAATGTTAAACGAAATGAAAATATAAAACGGCTGAAAAGAATATGGAAAAGAGAAGTGTTTTGTGAAAGTGCAATACAAACGACCTTTGGCTGAGGTTCTTTTGGAAATTCCGTACTATTTTCAAGAATAGAGAGAGAGAGAGAGAGAGAGAGAGAGAGAGAGAGAGAGAGAGAGAGAGAGAGAGAGAGAGAGAGAGAGAGTTAAGATATATACGGTCATATCA